GACGTGGCAACCAAGGCAGGCACAATTAAGCGCCCTATCCACAAGCTCGCCCTGCTACCCATCAATATTGAAGGATCATGATTCTGTCAAGGTGGCCGGTGTTGCGTCAAGCATCTTTCGTATCTAAAATAAAAGATTTGTTAAAAATAAACTTAAAAAAAATAAAGAATAATTGAATAATGTTGAAATTAATTATAAATGTTTTATGCTATAAAAATATTTACCTTTACTATACTATTCTTATAATAATACAGAACACATTATCTATTACAATAATCTTTTACAATGAATTAACGAAACTGTTGAAATATGTATACTTATACTGACCCCTTTTCTACTTGTAATACATACTTACCACTAGTTTAAGCCGTTGGGTTAAGCTTTTAGCTAAATTATAATATACTTAAATAAAGAATGCTATTGTAATAAAACCACACTCGCGAACGCACGTCTTTTAACTTAACCGGAGATTTTCTTTTCGTTTAGGCACAGGCAATTGGCACTTTTTATTTAAGTTGCGCATCCCTACATTTTATTTCATCTCAAAAAGGCTTGAGATTTTTCAGGGATAGTATGTAACAATATCCTTACAACCTTAAAGGCACATATAAAACTCGAGGGCAAATACCTCAGACTCAATAACATACGAATGAAATTCGTTGGTACATGCCCATTTAATATCAACGAAGTACATGCACTTGAAACAATTATTGCCGACGAAAAACTTTGTAAAAAATTAATTAAAGAGGATACGAATCCCGAGGACGCAGAATACCTCAAAAGTATCATATTGAAAAAAAGCGATTTATTTTTTCAGGAAGGGGAAAAACTATCCCATGCTCACACAATACAAGACGAAATCGTTACAACAACCGATAAACCCATATATTTCAAAATACTATAACAGGTATCCCCAAATACAGAAACAGGAAATAAAAAAGCAAATCGCCGAAATGCTTGATCACGGTATAATCACAGACTTGGGGATTGTGCCCAAAAAATTAGATAATTAAGCGCAAAAAAGTGGCGCATCGTTATTAATTACAGGAAACTGAATAAAGTTACAGTAGACGATACATTTCCAATGCCAAAAATAGAAAGTATTCTTAAAAATTCACGACACTCGACTTAGCAAAAGGATTTCACCAAATCTTAATAAATGAAAATGACCGGAAGAAAACAGCGTTTTCCACACCATTTGCGCATTATGAATTCAAAAGGATGCCTTTCGGATTAAAGAATATCCCGCCAATCTTTAAACGATTAATGAATTAGATATTAAGAAATTTAATATGCGTCGTATACCTAGACGATATCCTAATATCTAGCATTTCTATAGAAGAGCATGTAACAAGCATAAATAAAGTTTTCGAAAAAAGATTTCCATAAAAAGTTTAAAATCTCCACCGACGCAAGTAATCAGCTATAGGAGCTGCCTTAGTCCAGTCAGTTTCGCTAGTAGAAAAAGAACTCCTAGCAATAATTTGGGCAGTAAATTACTTTAGACCTCTCGTTTATAACAAAAATCTGACTGGAAACAGATCATCAACCGCTGGTTTGGCTTAAGTCCAAATACAATGACAAAGACATAAATCCGAGACTCCAGAGATGGCTTCTAAAATAGCATATGACTTTAATTTAAGTTATGTCATGGGAAAACAAAATAAAGTAGCCGACGTTTTGAGCAGAATAGACATAAATACCGGCAAAAGCAATGCAATATCTAATAACACAACTCATAGCAATACCAAACAGGGTCCCTCAATGGAAGAAGACAACATCAGTACCAATGTCACAATACATTCGCAAGCCGGGGAACAAAACGACCAGTATAACAGTAGTAAATCATTTCCACACCTGATTCAGGGGTGTTGTGGAATCCAAGTCAGATTTGTGCATTTGTCAGAATTGCAAACCAATTCTGATTTTCAATGGTGTCACAGAATATGATTGGATTATCTTGTTTTCGAACAAAGCCAATATTCAAATCAGCCGTTCACTATTGTGACTAAACTTGCAAATTAGCAAATTTGGAATCTTTTGACAGAGTAATCCACTTGATGCACCAGGGGAGTCGCATATTAATTTGGCTTGCATTTACTTCTATGTTTGTATACATTCTTACTTTACAGATTTATATCACACTACTGAATGAATTAATGCGCATTTGGATGTTAAATTACGTTTATTACGTTTTGTAAAACATCTTAAAATATCTCGATTTTTTTCATAAACTCAATAATTATGACATTTTGTGTTTTATTCCTATGTTTTCCTCTATATAAATAACGATAACGATTAAATCGTAACAATTATATAAATTAATTTCTTAACTTACATTTCAAATCTGTCAGCGAATATCCTCTTGCTTTGTTTCTGCAAACATCACGCGTGTCATCCACCAGGTACCAGGAACAACACTAAAGATGTGTTAGAAAAAACTACAGCAGAATCCATCGAAATGGAACTATCTAACAACTGTCCACTATGGAACCAGTCAAAATAGAGTTTGCAAAGTAATGCGCTGGACGATTATTTCCACCGTTAATGACATCTCCGTGTAAAAGCGAACATTTGAAAGCATTGCTCAGGTATTAAGCTAGATCTGGTACTTTCCTTAAAAGAGCTAGTTGCCTACAAGTTCAAAGGTAGTCGTGTTTCCTATAATGTAATGTACATTACACACATTAAACTTATATCAATATATATATATTATTATTATTATTTATTAAATAAAGGCCTATCGGCAATATACAAAGAAAAATTTAAATTTTATAAGTATTGTAATACAAGAGGGATAGTACATACATAGATACACAAGCAGGTTTGTAAGATTTTACACTTTGGGTGATTGACAGCTGGTTTCCTAGATTGGTTAATGCTGCTAATGGTAGTCAAGCAGCTTGCTCTTTAGTGCGGTGATGAAGTTGCTGTGTGATCCACCATAGAAATTTATGTCGTTATGTAGAGAGTTGACGAGAGTAGCAATGCGATTGTGAGGGCCGTACACTACATAATTTTTAGCTGATTGTATTGTTTTGAGTAAACGTTTGCGTCTTAAATGCAGGTTCGCTGGAGCAAATTCAAATTATTATATTATTATGGATGTCAGACGCATCGATGATGCCGTTGGCTATTTTAAGGAAAAATGCTAAGCCCGCACGTCGAGAACTAAGGCTATTAATTTTAAAGTAGCGGCAGAACTCTTCTGGTGAGCAACCATGTGATGTTTGGGCATATCGATATGTTAAAGTCTTGCACATTTTTCTTTGGACCTTCTCAGTACGATTAATCAGGAGTTCAGTATATGGAGATCAAATAACTAAACCATATTCCAATATTGGTTGAACAAGCGAGTAATAAAGATGAATCAGCGTGCGAGGATTGGAGAAGTCACTACAGGTCCTGGTTATGAAACCCAACATCTTGTGAGCCTGTTGGGTAATTTTATCAGTGTGTTTAGTAAATTTGTGGTCCATAATAATTCCCAGGTCCTTGATGTCTTCAACTTCAGCGACTTTATTATTAACTAGCTTATAGGCAGTCGAAGTATTAGTATGTGAACGTGAGAAACATATAGCGGCACACTGTTTAAATCCAATTTGTTATTGATACACCAAGTAGAGTGCTGGTCCAAATCCTTTTGGAGAGCATGAGAAACTGAGTTGTTAACGATTCTTCTGTATATCTTCAGGTCGTCGGCATAGAGACGGTATTCTGAGCTAAGATTGACACCGATGTCGTTGATAAATATGTTCAACAGGATGGGACCCAGGTGTGATCCCTGTGGTACTTCTGTTTTGACATCGTTTTTGGATGAGAGATGACTACCAATTCTGACTTGGAGTCTTCTGTCGACTAGATATGAGCTGTAGTAGGATGTCGTGATTGACTCTATCAAAAGCCTTCCTAAAATCAGTGTAGACAGCATGCACCTTATATCCATTACTCATTGCATTCAGGATATAACTGACATAAGTAAGCAAGTTAGAAGTAGTAGACCTTTCACCAACAAATCCATGTTGTTTAGTCGTAATAATCTCGGAGAAGAATTAAGTCAATTGGGGAAGAATTGGGATATGTTCGGAATACCGTCCGGTCCAGCAATACATGCTGCTTGTCTTGTGTATGCTGATTGATAGCTTGAATCATCCCAGGAAGTTGAATCATAGGAATAGAATAAACGCTCTTTAAAAAAGCAGAAAACAAGTTACTAGCTTCTTCACCGGTGTTAGCAGATCGAGTATTTCACACTGGACTAGATGGGAATTCGCTGTTGTTGCTTCTTTTCTTGTTACTAACGAACTTCCAAAACTCTTTCGAATCTGAATGGACTAATTGCTCAAATTTGTTTAGATAGTTTTTATAACTTCTGAGATCACTGAATTTTCTTTTCTTCCAAAAACTGAGTGTGCTGTCTTTTTTAGTTTAATTTCTGGATTAGCTCATTGGAAAACCAATATGGGTATGTACTGTTTCGTAAAAATAACTAATTTTTTCTTCTAATGAGTCGTGAGCATATAATTCCGACATGTCAGTCGTTAAGAAAAATGCGTTGAGATTCGCGTAGTCTATCTTTTTGAATGCAAGTGAGGGCAATTCAGCTTGTTTGAATATGATGTGTTTGGTCAGAAGTATGACACTGTGCAAAATCGGATGACCGTGACTATGAATTAGGCTATTCACCTCTGTGAGAGCACCGCTTATGCATATGCACACAAATTCTTACAATCTTATACATATGTTACGGTTTTCTATGATTTGTACATAATTGCATTTTTTATGTTCTCACTTTTTGCTTTGCAATTTGTAAGTCGGTACATATATACATACACACAAAAATAAATATTTTCATACCTACGCCCGCATAAGTATATACGCATATGCTTACATATGTACGTAGGTAATGAGAAAATAAGCACAAAACGGGATAAAAACCCGTGCTAGCATAAAACAAGTATTAAGCACATTATTATTAAAGCGTTAGGAGTGTTAAGAGTAAAAATGAAATGAAATATAAAATTAAATTAAATTGTTAATTGGACATTAATCTCTTTTTGGGCTGGACTTTTTGCAGTACAGTTTCATCGGATTGCAGATCTGCTTTTGCTACATCAACATCATCATATTCTTCATAGCTCAGGTACTCGTATATATTTTATTTTTTACCTTCAAATGCCTAATAACAGTAAAGCCAATATGCCTAACATGGCTGATGAGGAACAATCACCTTTGTCCTCGCTAATTCAAACACTTTCAACGATTCTTCGCAACCTACATAGTATAAAGCAACGAACTGCTTGTGAAAAAGTCGACAGTGATACGCATGTTGATTCCTACTTTCAACATATTTGCGACGTTCAGAACAATATTGAAGCTCTTTCTCCGTCAGACAAATCAAGAGCAGAAGTTGAAGAAACAACAAAATCTGAAATACTTTCGTTAATCAACCCCAGAAACCGCGTTTCTGAGTTGAACACTAGCATATTCAACGCAACGGCATTTGGAAATGCTAGTCATCATAATCGATTGCCGTCACTCAAATTGCCAAAATTTGACCGCAAATATGTGGAATATAAACGCTTTTTCCGTACCTTTTGCAACATAGTGCACGATGACCCAACAATGCCAAAGGTGGACAAATTTAATTATCTTTTGAACTGTCTTAGCGTAATCAAACCCTTTCAGGTAACCGAAGAAAATTACCTGAAGGCTTTACAACGGCTGAAAGAACGATACGACAACAACGTAATGATTTTTCAAGATCACATTATATCGCTTTTCAATAATCCATTTATGAAAAGATCTGACGCAGTAAGTCTACGTAATATCATTGACAATGTTGCAGCGCTGCGAGGTTCGTTACTCTCGTCGGGCTCAGAAGGCGATATAATGAATTCAGTGCTAATTCATATCGCCTTAACTAAAATTGATTATGATTCAAAATCGGCACACAATCAAAAGCAAGAGTTTGACTGCTTGCCATCATGGGATGATTGCTACAAGTGGTTAAATCGGCACTGTCAGTATTTAGAAACATGTTCAAACGGGGAAAACTCAAAGGTAACACAGCAAGATTGTAAGCTAGTAGGTAAGAAAAATGCAAATTCATTCATTAACGCGATGTCAAATTGTATACATTGCAATAATGCAGAACATAGCCTTAACAATTGTCCTTCATTTCTACAGTTATCAGCTAAAATACATTTTGATTGGGTGAAGCAAACAAGCAATTGCATCAATTGCCTACGCAAAGGACATACATTATCTAAATGCCCATCGAAATCTCGTTGCCGTATATGTCATCAATCGCACCACTCTCATCTACATTTCTCCACCGTTGGAGCTACAAATTATCCATTTGTACAAAAGTTAGAACCTAAAGAGAAAGACCAAACACCTGTGCCGTTTACTTCGTCGAGTCCATCGCATCATTCACCAACCAATCCATCAGTTTCACTTATCGCATGCACAGGCAAAAGAGCGATAATACCAACAGCCTTAATTTACATACAGGACAAATTTGGAGTGATGCAGCCAGCTCGTGCATTATTGGATTCATGTTCCGAATTCAATTTCATAACCGAGGAAACAGCAAAGCGGTTGCAGCTTAAAAGGTTTTTCTCACATCAGGAAATTTCAGGTATTTCAGATATTCGTTCTAATTCAAAGTATGCAATAAACAATAAATGCGAAAATCAAATCTCAAATCGGAGATTTTACTTGTATATCGCAATTTGCTATAACTAAACAGATCACGACACAAATACCAAGTAGTTTTATGAAAACTTCTAAATGGGATATTCCTGCAAACCTTCAGCTTGCGGATCCTTACTTCTACAAACCGTAACGTATAGATTTATTGCTTAATGCAGAAATATTATTTGAAAACCTTCAAGAAAGCACAATCTCTCATGGAAAAGGCACACCACGCCTTCAAAACAGCAAATTAGGGTGGATTCATTTGTAATATCACACTAAATTCAAATCCATCTAACATCGATTCTATTCTTCAACGATTTTGGAAAATTGAAAATTTCACTTAAAAGACATCAACATTGTCCGAAGAGGAATGATTCTGCGAACAACATTTCATTCAAAACGTTCAAGTGAAAGGTGATGGACGTGTACAAGTTCGGTTACCATTTAAGGTTTCGCCTACAATATTAGGCAAGTCTTTTCACAATGCCAGGAAGAGATTTCTCGCTCTCAAGATCAACGATATCAACTAATTTTATGGAGAAACGAACCCTATGAGCCATTGCAGTTGTTTCAACTCAAAACTGTAACTTATGGTTTGGCTTCTGCACCATTCCTCGCGATTCGCAGTTTATTTCATATTGCTGACGTCAATAAAGATGCCTTTCCCCTTGCATCGTCTGCTATTCGTGAAAGCTTTTATGTTGACGATTTGTTAACTGGTGCAGAAAGCATAGACAATTTATAAAAATTAAAAGTTGAAATTTAGAAGTTCTTTGTTCTCATGGAAGAAGAAGAAGTTCTTTCTCTTACTAAATGGCACTCGAATTCTACACAATTATCTGACGCATCTTATGAGGAAGTCAGAATTAAAACAACTGAAGAAAACATTACCAAAGCTCTAGGTACGTCGTGGAAACCTTTAGCTGACACCCTTTGTTATCGCTATAAGTTACCAGATATGCAGTCAGTCACTAAGCGATCTGTCTTATCTATTATCTCCAAAATATTTGATATCCTCGGTTTATTGAGCCCCGTGATCATACGTGGCAAAATATTAATGCAAGAAATTTGGATTCGCCGATTAGATTGGGCTGAAACACTACCACCCGATCTACATAACATTTGGTTGCAGATAAAAGCCGATTTAAACTTCATTAATAAAATCGAAGTTTCCCGCTATGTACAAACAACATCCAATTCTGATTGTGAATTTCATGGTTTTGCTGACGCATCAACACGCGTGTATGGGTGTTGCATTTATGTACGTTCTTCGATAAATCACACCTACAAAACAACATTACTTATTGCGAAATCTAAAGTAGCGCCTATTAAAGCACAATCGCTTCCTCGTTTGGAGCTATGTGCAGCACTGGTACTGAGTAGGACTTGGCAAAAAACTAACGAGAAGTTATTGACATTCAGCACCAACATTTATTTTTGGACTGACTCAGAAATAGTGCTGAAGTGGCTCAACACTCATGCGGCCACCTTAAATTGCTTTCTGCCAATCGAGTCTCTGAAATTCAAAAACTTTCATCTGGCATTAACTAGAAACATGTACCAAGTACGCATAATCCTGCAGACATTGCTCAAAATCTTGTAGGGACAATTTGGTTCTCTGGCCCAGAGTTTCAAATGAAAAATTCGTCAGATTTACATCATTGTACATAGAGTATCTTTACCGAAAGCATTTACATGCTGGCACAAAGGTTTTATTAAGTCTGTTGCGTCAGCGAGTATGGGTTATAAATGCCCGCGAAATCGTAAGAAAAATTGTTCGAAATTGCGTGCTTTGTTTCCATTACAAACTTAAACTAATGAATTAAATCATGGGGGATCTCCCTGCTAATCGCTTGCAAATGCAACGCCCATTTCTAGTTAGCGACGTCGACTTTTGTGGCCCTTTCAGTACGACCCATCGTCTTCGTGGAAGAGCTCCATACAAAACATACATAGCAATAATGCTTTGCATCTAAAGCCATACATGCAGAATTAGTATCCGATTTGTCTACTAATAATTTTATACTTTGTCTAAAACGTTTTGTAGGAAGACGCGGAATACCTCAACGCATTTACTGCGACAACGCCACAAATTTCGTCGGTGCTCAAGCCAAATTGAAGGGTTTTCATCAACAGTTCTTCAATAAAGCGGTTACTGATGACATCACTAATTATAGCACCAACACTGGTTTCGAGTTTCGTTTTATTCCGCCTCGGGCTCCGCATTTTGGAGGTTTAAGGGAGGCGGCAGTAAAATCGATGAAATCCATTTTGATAAAAAACATGTCAAATGCACACGTGACATTTGAAGAACTGCAGACCGTTGTGGTTGAAGTTGAAGCTATCTTAAACTCTCGCCCGCTGAACCTCTTTTGATCGGAACGTCATTACTTTCGATGCCAGACAAAGCCATTAATATCAACACTGTATTTTCCTTAACGCAATGGCAACGGGTGACGTATTTGAAGCAGCGTTTCTGGGACCTATGGGCACACTACTATATTCTTATCCTACAACAACGCTCCAAGTGGTTGAAGCCGCAGACCATATCGAAATTGGTCAAATGGTCATCATCTATGAAACTAACTTGCCTCCACAACAATGGTCCCATGGCAGAATTATCGATATCGCTCCTGGTTCAGATGGCAAAGTGAGGTTTGTGGACATCAAAACTACAAAAGGGATTATATGGAGAGCAGTCTATAAAGTTGCACCATTACCTATTTCCGATTGAAATGCAAGCATTTCAATGGGGAGAGCATGTTTGGTCAGAAGTGTGACACTGTGCAAAATCGGATGACCGTGACCATGAATTAGGCTATTCACCTCTGTGAGAGCACCGCTTATGCATATGTACACAAATTCTTACATTCATATACATACATATGTTACGGTTTTCTATGATTTGAACATAATTGCATTTTTTATGTTCTCACTTTTTGCTTTGCAATTTGTAAGTCGGTACATATATACATGCACACAAAAATACATATTTTCATACCTACGCCCGCATAAGTATATACGTATATGCTTACTTATGTATGTAGGTAATGAAAAAATAAGCAAAAGACGGGATAAAAACCCGTGTTAGCATAATATTAAGCACATTATTAATAGAGCATTAGGAGTGTTAAAAATGAAAATAAAATTAAATGTAAAACAAGTAAGGAAGGCCTAAGTTCGGATGTAACAGAACATTTTACACTCTTGCAAAGTCAAATAGTATACTCGTTTGAGATTTCTTTGTGGATTGACTGATATTTTCGGTAGAAGGTCAACTATAGGCACTGGGGTCCACATATTTAGTACTTAGGGGCTTGAACAGTTTTGGTTCGATTTAGACAATTTTTGGTCACAAGATGGCATACTTTAAACGTATTATTCACGCAAAGTTTTACCCCGATATAATCATTGTTGCTTGATATGCATAGTGGAAAGTAAAAGAAGCAAATAGAATTTAAAATGCTGCTCATTGAGGACGTTATTGCGTTGTGTACAGCCCACAGATGCTAAGCCGGTAAATAACAAGTTTTCACAATCAGTGCGTGGAGTACTGCTTGGTAAATTGTAATCACCAACGATAATGATTCTGGCATTTTTATGTTTGTTTTTCAAGTAGGACAGCTGTTGGCAGTGTAATTTGTAAACTATTGGTTGGCAATTGCGGATTTTTTTTTTAAATCAAAGACAATTTTTTTATGGAACTAAATAACTTTATTCTGTAATGTATTGCCCATTTTGATCAATGACCTTTTGCCATCTTTCAGGCAGCATCATAATCCCACGTTCATAAAACTACTGGTTTTTATTAGCAAAACACTGAATCAGGTACGATTTGACATCATCATTATTATGGAATTTTTTACCATTCAAGGAGTTTTGTAAAGATCGCAACAAAAAGTAATCCGATGATGCAAGGTCAGGATTGTATGGTGGATGTGACAAAACCAAGCTTTAATAATGTTTGCCGAAAATTGTCATGATAGAATACAACACCTTTTCGATTTATCAATTCGGGCCGCTTTTCTTCAACTGCATTGTTTAATTTCGTTAGTTGTTCAATGTAGACAACAGAATTGATCGTTCGGTTGGGTGTTAAGAGTTCAAAGTAGACAATTCATAATCCCACCAAACTGATAACAAAACCTTCTTTTGATGAATACCAGCTTTTGATGTTGTTTGAGCTGGTTCACCTGGCCTACTCCACGATCTTTTCCGCTCGATATTGTTGTAAATAACCCATTTTTCATCGCCAGTTATCATTCGTTTTAAGAATGGATAATTTTTATTACGTTTCTTTAGCAAATCGCAGCTGATAATGCGTTACGTTTCACGCGTCAAAACAAAGTGTACAGTTTAAGAAAAATTAAAAAAATTCAAAGTTAATACTTTGTTTGTCTTCCTTTGCATGGATAACTGCTTCCAACCTCCTTGGCATTGATTCCACTATGTTGGACACTACTTCGGGGGAAATTTCGGACCACTCCTCTGGTAAAATGTCCTTCAGAGAATTTTTACTGGTTATGCTCCTTTTTCTTATTTTCCGGTCCAAATGTTCCCCCGATGCTCATGTATGATTGTAACGATAACGAGAAAACCTGTTCATTTATACGATAAAGTAAATTTCCTAAAGCACTGCATACAAAATGGACCATTACACAAAGTGGTGGAACAAGAGAAAGAATTGGACCAAAACAGCAACCGTTTTGACTACAGTCGGGTCTACGTAACCAGAACTGACCCTGCTTTTTATCCGACCAAGGACTGTCAAGTCAGCAGAATTCTGCCGCTTCAACAACAATGGATATAATATTTGACAAATTTCGTTTTGTTACGGTCGCTAAGTACGAAACGAAGGCACGTCGGTCACCAATTCCAGCAATATAAGTGAGAAGTTGTAAATTCGGATAATGAGTAGTAAAGCATTAAGTTGTTGGAGTTAGGAAAAAATATAAGTGTATAGCCATCAAATTGGGACTTTTATTTTACAATCCAGTGATCGAACTCAAGAGTGAGTTAGAAGGTAGAAAGAAATATCGAGAAACCCGTTACAATTAGTGTCAGAAATGGGATTGTCAAAAAAGCTCCCAAAGGGAGAATTGTTTGAAAATGGCCAAGATTAGGGATCTGAAGATTCCACAACTGAAAAAGGAGCTGGAAAAACGTGGCTGGGCAACAAAGGGAGTTAAGTTCAAAGTAGAGTCACTGTAACGAAGAGCCATGGAAGCAAAAAATATCAATGTTGAGGAATATGCCTTTCAATTGGAATTAGAGGAAGAGACAATAAAAATACCAGAAAAGGAAGTGACTCAATGTTTAGTAGAGGTTATTTATGCTGCTTTGGAATCGTTATGGGAGCGCTTGTCAGCACAACTGTCAGCAGCGAAAGAGCTGGACGTGCGTATGACAGCGCAGGTGTCCTCACTGTTGGAAGTGGAGGAAGCGTGTGAACCAGTACGAGGGTTCTTACAATCGGGAGAACACGAAGAGTGTATACTAGCACAGATGGAAGGCCAGGATAAAATTAGAGCTAAAGCGGATTACTCTTTGCAAGAAGATCCAGAATTGCAAGTTGTAATGCATGAAGTGAAATTGAACAAATTCACATCGAGGGGAGAAATAACTACAGGAAGGCCGGTCGCAAAATCATATTGGACAAAGCAGAGCAGTTTAAAGTTGATGTGGGGCTGCTTGCATCGAGTATGGAAAAGCGAAAATGGACAAAGCTCTCGAGCAGTAATGGTTGTTCCAAAGGTTAGAATTCCTGAAGTTCTCAAAGAGCTGCATAACGGTCCAAGTGGAGGGCACTTAAGATTCACGACAACCTTGGAGAAGTTAAAGCCACGATTTTATTCTATTGGTTTTCATCAATCATTCAGAAGTGCCAAATATGAATGGCCAGAAGTGTACGCAATTCTTAATCAAAAGGCTGAACCAGTAGTGGACGTATTCATCAACGAGATTCGGTGTTACAATGGAATTACGTTCTGATAAAGAATGGAATCGCGAGTCAGCTTGAAGTCAAGAGATGTACCAAACTGGGTATCTGGAAAACGGAGGGAATTAACTTCAATAAGGAAAGGACGGCTACGGAAGTTAACACCAGCTTAGAAGACGAGATGAGAGACTTAAAAGCTTTGTGTTTGGTACCGCAAATATGTATAATCGGAACGATCGTACTTTTGTGGTGGGCAGTTTGACGAACACGAATGATTGAACAAAATCAAACCGACAATATGTCGGTTGTTGTGAATTCGGGTAATGAGTAGGAAAGAGTTAAGTTGTTTGGTTAAGAAATAAAGATAAGTGTTTAGCCATTAAACTTTTATTTAACAATCCAGTAATCGAACTCTAGAGAGTTCCAATGTAGACGATTTATCGAGAATTCTGGAGATCGTTAAATCTTAGCTCATATGCATTTTAATCCCGAAATCAGTGTATGATTTTCAAAGACCCATCCCAAATACACTCTCATTATTCTAGTGTTTCTTTCGTTTTTATACTCTCGCAACCTGTTGCTACAGAGTATAATAGTTTTGTTCACCTAACGGTTGTTTGTATCACCTAAAACTAATCGAGTTAGATATAGGGTTATATATATATAAATGATCAGGATGAAGAGACGAGTTGAAATCCGGGTGACTGTCTGTCCGTCCGTCCGTCTGTCCGTCCGTCCGTGCAAGCTCTAACTTGAGTAAAAATTGAGATATCTTTATGAAACTTGGTAGACATGTTTCATGGTACCGTGAGACGGTTGGTATTGCAGATGGGCGTAATCGGACCACTGCCACGCCCACAAAACGCCATTAATCAAAAACAAATAACTTGCCATAACTAAGCCCCGCAATAAGATACAAGACTGTTATTTGGTACACAGGATCACATTAGGGAGGGGCATCTGCAGTTAAAATTTTTTTTAAAAAAGTGGGCGTGGTCCCGCCTCTAATAGGTTTAATGTGCATATCTCCTAAACCGCTAATGCTATAATAACAAAATTCACTGTAAGCAAATATTTTTAGCACTTCTATTGACGGTGTGAAAATAGTTGAAATCGGGTGGCAACTCCGCCCACTCCCCATATAACGGTACTGTTAAAAACTACTAAAAGCGCGATAAATCAAGCACTAAACACGCCAGAGTCATTAAATTTTATCTCTGGGATGGTATGAGATGACTTTATAGGAACCGCGTTCAAAATTAGACAGTGGGCGTGGCACAGCCCACTTTTAGGTGAAAACCCATATCTTGAGATCTGCTTAACCGATTTCAACCAAATTGGTGCGTAACGTTCTTTTCATGTTTCTATGTCACAGTGCAAAAATGGGCGAAATCGGACTACAACCACGCCTACTTTCCATATAACACCATTTTAAATTCCATCTGATTATTTCACTTTCCACTATGCAAATCAGGCAACAATGACTGTATCGGGATAAAACTTTGCGTGAATAATGCGATTAAAGTATGCCACCTTGTGGCCAAAAATTGTCTAAATCGAACCAAAACTGTTTAAGCCCTTAAGTACTAAATATGTGGACCCCAGTGCCTATAGTTGACCTTCTACCGAAAATATTAGCCAATCTACAAAGAAATCTCAAACGAGTATACTATTTGACTTTGCGAGAGTATAAAATGTTCGGTTACATCCGAACTTAGCCCTTCCTTACTTGTTATTACATAGTTTTAATATATTTTAAAATTGCTTAACACGCTTAGAATACGCCCTATATATTCATAGTTTTGATAGCTACATTTAGCATTACTTTTATAATTGATTATATTTGCACTATCCTTCGGCAAAATCATATACTTCACTTGCCACTGCTTTAAAAATCAGTGTCAAAAGTGAAATATTAATTTTTCTTAAGTTTTTTATAAATTAATATTTATTTATAATAATATTTTTCATAGTTTGTCGGTATCAGCCAAGTCCCCCTATCAATGTAAATGAGTCCGTTCCCACGAGTCGGGTGTAAGTAACCGCAACGGACCCGGATTTTTATTCGGCCAAGGACTTTCAACTCGTCACCATTCCTCGAAATTACTTCAGGAATGTTTTCTGCCGCTAAAACAAGTTCGTATTTGTCGATATTCATTTACTATCAAATATGTAAACAGCTATTTATTGTTTTTAACAACAATTATACTGCTAATTAATGTTGGTTCGTTCGAGTTCCTAGACTTATTTTCTTTGAATTCCATTTCACCTGCAAAAACAAAGTAATTGAAATATTATTATAAATTTTGATTGGAATTCCATTCGCTCCTAGATGTATGGAACCAAAAAGCTTACCTTGAATTCCACATGGTTTATTCAACTTTGTGGTCTGTTGACTGAATGCAGTTCCTCTGATAATCTTATCATCACTGACATTCAGGAGATCAAACTCTTTCAGCTCATTGTCGAGCATTATTTTTCTATATCTTATTTCAGCCTGCAATGATTCCCGACTATTATTCAAAAGTAATTCAGTTTTTTTGCAATATTTGTATGGCCTATAATAAATAGAAGGCATCGTTTTTGTTTTAATACAAGATTTAAAGCTATTTAATGATTTTTCAAAAGCAGTAAAATCTTTCAAACGATTAATTTTTAACTCCAAAGTTGTAATTTTTGTCTGTTTTTTTTGCTGCTCCATTAAAAGTAAATCTCGTTCTTTCCTTAATGCCTCTCGTTCTAGTAATTGTTGTTGTTCTAACTTTTTTTCTACTTGGGCCTTTTTGTCCTCTTTCAATTTTAAACGAGATTCCTCTAGGCAAAACTTGTGCAATGTGCCTAAAAGAGATCCAAACATTCTCCGATTTCTTGCTCTGGATTCTAAGTCGGATCCTTGGGCTTTTAACACTTCTTGTCTAGTTGGCAATTCCTTTATAACGCGTGAACTTAGCCTAGGTCTTAAACCATCATTTGGCACTGATAATCGGTTAAATACCGACTTAATGTCGCTAGTTCTTCTGGTCTTCCTTTCATTTCCATATTTCTGACACCCTTCATCCTTGCTACTGTCAATGTTTATATCATTTCTAATTTAGAATATTTAGAACATATTAAAATTGATCACAATTACTTTCTTATAACTTTACCCCAAATCTCTGGGCCGACCCACAATCATTCGAATATTATCGTTAAGCAAATCCAAATGACCCTTTGCCTCTTCAAGTTCTTTTTGTAATTCTTGACAATTGGCAATATTTGAGCCCATGTTAACCGTTTTTCTAGACATTAAAAAACCGATGCACAAATAGCCTGACGGAAAGTACTTGGACTCTCTATACTAGAAAAGTATTACTCGATATTTAATTTAAAGCTAACGGGGCATCTTGACGGGCAATTAAAAATGTCTAAAATCTGAATTGCCAACAATAGTACTAATGGAGACAGCAAATTGCTAATGTTTAGCAATTAATGTCTAAATACATTTTATGCCATAGCAATAAACTGTCATTTTTGTGGTTCGACAGAGCTGTTTCATTTGCTCACAAGTTTTGTTGAGGCAAGCATCGTAAAGGGGGAGTAGAAAAATAATCAGCTGATTGATGTAAACAAAGCCCCAGCTGAGAGGGGTCCATGGAGACACGTCAAGTCCGCCTAGGGGTTGAATTTCTATTGACAGCCAAGATGGCCGACTTTTAACCAGAAAATGGTTGCATCTTGCTATTTTCATTTAATTTATGAAAAAGTTGTCCAAAAAATATTGGTTATATGTAAAACTTTAATATGTTTTCAAAATAAAATCAGTTTATTTTAATATATGTTCTTAAAGGAGCGGCTATTATTGGCAAATTATAGAATAATTACGATATATATTTATGCCTTTTTTTACTGTCGGAAATTAATAAATATTCACCACAGAAAAATGTAAGGTGCAATTAAGCAACCATATCTTATCAGAGAAAACAGCGGCACAGTAAGTATTTTTGTGATATATGTAAGTACAATGATAAATTTTACTTTATTGTTTAAATGAATTATTATCACTTGTATGACAATGATAAGTTTTGCTTTTTTGATTATATAAATTATTATTACCTTTCATATCAAATTCTGTTACAATAGTTATTTCTTCCCTTCCATTCATAGTTTGAATTTTCACTTTGTCTATTAATAAGTTAATTAAATAGCTTAAAGATATGCCGCAAATTTTAACTGATTTACCTGTTAACATTGTGTTTTACTTCACTTAAAAAATGTGTCGGGTGAACGCAGACTTTATTGGCTATATGTATAATATAAGATTTGATTTATATTATGTATATCTCCACATCAAATTTATATATGATTCAAATAAATCACTGACAAAGTTTCACTATATTTGCATAGAAATGCATCAGAACTCAAATACTTTTTATAGTCTTGATCAGAACTCTAATTAATATAGGTATGTATGTATATATTTGTGTACAATAAAATAAACTACTTCTTCATTTTAACCATGCACTTAATTGGCAAATATATTATTAATAGATCAATATATTTATTTAAAAATGGCTCTAATATTTTTAGCCAACATTATTCAATTAATTTGACTAACATTTTTTCAATAAAAACAAATAAATTAAGTTTATTTGAAGTGTGTAGTTTACTTGACTTCATCAGAAGCAACGGGTAGTTCAGAGAGAAGACCTAAGAGTGAGGGGATATTACTCCCGGCGTTATCACAGTGGGTCTCCGAAAGGCATAGGTACGTCGTCAGGCAGACACTCTACCTCTCTTCCTACCTAATCCATTGTCGTCCAATTTTTTTACTACCAAAAACGCGAAATACCAGAGAACATATATTATAGAGAAGGTTCAATTGCGGACCAGCGTGTGAATTGTCAAAACCTAACAAGATTTTATTAGTGAATTTCACCAAATCTGGCTCGGAAGGAGACATTTTAAAGTAGCGAGTGAACAGAGCTGAGAATTCAATGAAAATTATACTCAGAGACTTGCTTTGATATTACAGCTGCATGTTAGCCTTTTGGCTTATAATTTTATACGTTTATATGCAATCATATTTATTGATATGAATATCACTTTGCGAATTTTTATGAATGCATGCAAAACTGATAATCTATTCTATCTATTAAATTGTGGAATTTCGAAATAATATTTATAGTCAATTTGGGCATTTAATAATATTATATAGTTTTTACATAATATGCATTCCTATATAATTTTATATCTTTTATCATATTAATATTATATAGCCATATGTACATTTATCTGAACATGCGCATTTGAATGTACGCATTCAGAAATTCAAATCATAATTTATCACTTATCAATACACTATATGCAGAGAATGTTAATAAATATATAAATATTCATATATAAACATTCTCTGCTATACGTCCGCACATTGATTTATATGTCAATATATATATGTCAACATATGTATGTGTATATAACATTGCCAACAAATAATGCATACACAAACCAACCTACATACATATGAATATCCGTACACATGTAAATATGTCACCTGCAAAAACTACAAACATTGTTCTTTTCGTTGTTCTACTTTCGACAAGCAACCTCGCTTCATTCATAAAAACAGATACCCTCACATCCCCCCGAGCATGTTTTTACCTACAAGCGTCTTTTCACGACGATGGCAAAAGCTAAAAATCATAAATTGAACAAATTTCTGATATTCCCTCTAGAAGGGAAAAGTGACAACTCCGCAAATATGAGTATTAAAATATTTTAGAATAAAAGTGACAACATAGTATATTTGTCGATTTACAATTGAAGAAACTTTTTAAAGAAAATATTCAATATTCCTCTGATTTATGTAAACAGTAAACCCCGGTTAAATATCACTCCTCCAATCCCTCTTATCTGCCTGTGGCTTGCTGCATCACACGTTTTTTTTTCTTAATTTTTTTAAGGAAAACGGTAATTTTTTTTTAAATACATAGAAATAATTTTTTTGGTACCACTCGCTTAAGTACCACAATCGCTTATGTACTACAAAGCACAAAAAATCTGCAACTTTGGTTTTGGCACATAACCGGGATTGACTGTATTTGTCAAAAAATGTACGTAAGTGCGTATGTAAATATTTGAATTTTTTGTAAACACATCTACCCGTATATATGCAAATGACTTGTTGACTTTGTTTCCATTTACGCATGCCACGTTGTATATGAATAAGGGTTGATTTTGCACTTGCCATATGCGATGTATGTTTGTAAGAGTGTGTATGGTTCTGATTTCCCATGAAACAATGGGTATAAATATTTACATACATACGTTGCATATAGACAAATTAACAATTATAATGGGTACTTTCATATTTGTTTCGCTTGGTCTTTTCTGATGGGGTTATGTCAAGCAAGAGGAGTACAAAATCTAACCCAGAAATCTGACTGAGCTGCAGCAGTCCATTAGATAGATATTTGAGGCAATCCCGACGAACCCTCTAGCCCGCGTAATTTTCTAATTAGGTGTCGCATATGCGTGACTGAGCATGGAGGAATAATTAATTGTATAAAATAAAATAAGATTTTCTATACAATACAAAAAAACTTAATGTAATGCATTGATTAAAAAGAAACTTATTACGGTTTATTTTTGTAGCACGATTCGTGAGCCGCCCTGTATATGCAGAATATCTTAAAATTATATGTAAATTCGTTTGCGCATTGTAAAAATACGAATCTGTAAGCGTACATTTCTTAACATACAATTTAGCATTATTTTTCTCATTTAACATTCAAAATGCTCAATTCTGCTATTTTGCGCTCCGCAGGGGTAAAATTCTGGTGAAATCAGCTTATAATTTGTTTGTGGTGAAATGCACTAATGTTGGCGAGTAACCCTCCGTCAAGAGGAACATTTTGACAATCGGCATACCATGAACCAGAGAACTTAAAACAACGAGAAGGTGCAAATTGAATTTTGTATGATGCTCGATTGGTTGGCTGAAAAATCGAGATCAAGGAGTTCACCATTTTCTGTAATATTTGCTGTTATTTAACAGAAATGAGATTTTATAACAACGTTCTCTGATAAATTACGTATCTCCCAACATAAAGAGAAAAATGAAGCGAAATGAATGAGAAAACAAAAAATACAAATGCCACTTCACATATGCATGATTATTTTTTGCCATATAAACGATTTTTATGATGAAAAATTGATAAAATATGATTTTTCCGCACAAATGCTACATTGATAAAATGTGAAAGATTATGCAAGAAATGTATTTTACTATTTTCATAATTTTCTAATTTCAGTTGTTACAGAATTAATAATTTATGTATGTACATATGTATGTACATCAATATGTTATAATATATAATATACTTGTAATAATATATTACCAATTATCAATGAAAACATGTGAGCGCACTGCTCTATATGTTAGTATGTATGTACAAATATGCGTACGACCGCGCAAAATAAGTAATGCATACAAATCTACATACCTTTAAGCGTACAAATGTAAGTACGTCAGCCAATAGGCAAAATACAAACATTGTTGTACAAAAACAACAATTGTCTCAAATAGCATCAGCACCAGAAATCAATATGGCAGCCAAATTGACAAATCCTAAATTTGTAGTAAATCACACACCAACAACATTTTCATTCATGAACGCTGGCGCACAATCAATAAGCTAAGTCGTTTCATTCATAAAAGCAAACGCCTTACACATCTCCCCGAGCATGCGTTTGTCTACAAGCGTCTTTTCGCGACGATGGCAAAAGCTAAAAATCATAAATTGAACATCTTTCTGATGTTCCCTCTATAAGAGAAAAGTGACAACCCTGCAAACACAGAAATCAATGACAAAAGTGGCAACAAAGCTTTTGTCGATTTAAAATATTTCACAATTCTAAAATATTTTTCCGCGGTTCGCAAAAATCTTCGTCAATATGTATGCATGTTCATATAAATACATACATACCTACAATGATTTGTAGGCAAAGCTGTTATAGCGGCAAGGGAAATGATGACAAATATTTGCTTTAATTAAGCATTTTATTTTTACACAATTTTGGTTATATGCACAATAACAAATGGGTTCCATGTTGTCAGATAATAAGTGTTGCCATATCCAAACGAATGACAGCAATCAAAATAAATAAAAAACCCAATTACCTTCTACAAAATAATATGAACTAAATTTTCCATATTAATAAAAAAAAAAAGGTTTTATGGCTTAAAGGTATGTTTTATTGCATCTAATAGTTTCACGAATGGATCGTGATGCTGATTTGCAACATTTTTACGCGATACGTATTCATAAATCAAATTCGAGAAATCTTCACTGTTATTATAATTGTCTTTTAAAATAAACCGTTTGATAACGCGCCACTGGGATTCTATCCTATGCGTGTGTGTTCCATCTTCGGCAACAAACGGATTTTCTGGATCGCTATGGTTAACGCG